TTTAAAGCCGGACATAGCACAGTCGCACAAATCACAAGAATAGCCCACCACGCCTTTAAAGGTTACAACAATCAATCTCAAACAGTGCTGGTTGCACTGGATGCTGCGAAGGCTTTTGACTCAGTCTGGACCGACGGGTTAATCCACAAAATGTTTATGAATGACTACCCCGTTTTCATTGTAAAAACAATTCAAACTTACTTACATAATAGACAGTTTTACATTAAAATCAACCAAACAAACAAAGGGCCATATACAGCTAAGGCGGGAGTTCCTCAAGGTTCGGTACTGGCGCCGCATTTGTATACCATCATGACCCATGATATACCAATGGGACATAATGGTATACAGACGGCTCTGTACGCCGACGACACTTGTATCTACAAGACATCAAAATCAGCCGAAATTGCGGCCAGAAGGCTGGATATCCATGCAAATCGAGTGTTAGTCCCCTATCTAGAGAAGAACAAAGTAAAAATTAATCCTGCTAAAACAGAAAGTCTATTACTTTTAAGGATTAGGCAAGAACCAATCATAACAAAAATCAAAGTTCAAGGACAAAGTATAGAAACTAAGAATACTATGAAATATTTAGGGTTCATTCTAGATAGGAGATTAACATTCAAACAACATATCTTGGACAGGATCTCCAAAACTATGGGTGCATTTAAGGTTTTATACCCCATGATGCATCGTAGGAGTGGGGTGACTGTCGAAAATAAAATTTTACTATACAAACAGGTATTAAGACCAATACTTCTGTATGGATGTCCAGTCTATTGCTCAATGGCCAATACTCATTTTAAAAAATTACAAGTCATGCAGAACAAGTGTCTTCGACTGGCCTTGGGGTGCGACCGCTACGCCAGAATATTAGACATGCACGAGCAAACTGCCATGGAAACTGTCAAAACCCATGTACTGAGACTATCAGAGAATTTTTTCAATAACTGTTTACCTACACCGCTTAAGGAAGACATAATAGCAAACAAAAATAGGGAAGGTGCAAACAGGATCCATGGCTGTTTGCATAAAGCACTAAGAAACTATACTGACGGTTAATTAGACAAACTCTAAACATACATGCATCCTAACAACTCCAAAACCCACTGAATAGCCGAATCTCAACGGTGGCTAGTTAAGTCAACTAGTCGGACGGAAGACTGCACGGTGACGTCACTGTCCTAGGTTTGATTTTTGACCCGTCGAAAATCGGATTTTGGTCGGTGGCTAACACTGTGGAGGCTTGAGATTGGGCTAATCACCCTCCTAACCTACCCTAACAACCCTTAATGACGCACATACATATAAGGACAACCCTGTTTTTTACTATGGTTTTTCAGGGACAACAAACATAAGTAAATTCAGACAAAAACTCATCACTTTACAACTATTGACCTATCAAACTCATCCAAATTGACTTATAATATTGCTTCAATAAGGAGAAGTCACATCACTCATAATTTGTTAATTGTAATACGGTCAAATACACGGCCACAACAACGGTCATGGCCCCTTCTAGGAGCCATCGCAGAGCGGAACACTTCACGGAGCATCACGAGAAGAAATCCTTCTGTAAATTACGTATTAGAATGTATTATAAATGTATATACTTGTAAATATTTTAAATAAAGAATTTTGAAATGAAATGAGCGACTTTCGTTACTCGACGGCGGCAGTTCCGGGTGGTTTATAGCTCACCCTCTCTGTGAATTAAGACAAAAAACCGTAGACTTGGACAAGAACACACAACACAAATGACAACCCTGTTTTTTTCCTAGCTTTTACAGGGGACAATACTAAACTAACACACGACAAACCTATAACTTACAATTCCCGATCCACAACCACCATAATCCCTCAATAATACCCATAGGGTAAGGAGTGAGGGCGGCTATAATTAGCATAACCAAAACAGATAAATATGGAACATATTACAGGCGGAGAAACCGCCTTAGGCCTCAATGGATACCATTCGGGCCACAGCTGTACTGTGTACAGTCTGTGTTATTTGTGACGTTTTATGTTTACATATTGTACATATATTTTTAAAAAAATGAATAATAGTATATTATTAAACGAGCAATTTATGGTAGCCATTATTCACCCGAGTGAATAATGGCCATAAATTGCGAGTCTAATACTATACTTTGTCCACGACCATTATGGTTTCTTTATTAAATAAAAGTTAAGTGTAGAATGGAAAGTTTTTATTAAACATAGGTAACTGTTGTTTTTTCCACTTTTCAATTTTTCGATTTTCGATTTTTTGATTTATCGATTTTTTGATTTTTCGATCTAGAAAATATCGTTATGAAAAGTATCGCCTATCTTTAGTTATCTACCGGAATGTGCCAGAATTACAAAAGCGTGAATTATCATAATTCACTCCGTGATATATGGGTACTATATGCTTTTAGTTAGGAGGTAGAATATTGATTTATTATTAGGTGGTCGTGGACAAAGATTTTAAATGAATGAATTTGAACGATTCTCCACACATTTCTTCATGGTAGTCAACTCAAATACATAAAGTGCATTAGAGACAAAGTCTTCTTCACTTCCAATATGGCATATAATGAGCTGTTTTTACGCACATACCTGATGGGTTTTTAAAACCAGTTAAAAGTTCATCCAAAAAGGCTTGTCTGGATGAAAAAACCGACATATCGAAACATACTTTTGATTTGGTGTGGCCTGCGTTAATCCAAGTCTCATCAAGATAATATATTTTTTGCTTTTCTTCTCTGTACCGTTTTATTTTTTGTGGCGTAGGACGAAACAATTTTATTTTTGTCTAAAAGCAAACTATTTTTTCCTCGAGTTTTAAATTTAAAATTAAGGGTTTTGAAAAGCTTGTAAAATGTAGCTCGCTTAAAGGTATACAAATATGGATCATCGTTGACTTCTTGTAAAACCTTATCAATTGTTGGAAGTTAATTTCTAAAGAAGAATTGATGTACTGTGCGCCTTATTGCATTTTTATCAAAATCATCCACATAGCCACTAATTTGTTTATAACGTAGCTTTCTTTTTGGTTCAGAAAATTTATGAATCTGCCTATACTCCTTCATAACATTAAAAACGGTTTTAGCGCACATCCCTGTTTTATCAGCAACTCTCCTTTCAACATCATGTACCAACATATCAGGGTTCTATAAAATTTAATGCTTATAAATATTAAGAACCATTTCTTTAGTACGGATGACCAAATGTCCCTTTTTCAGTAGATTTTTAGAAGGAGTAAAAACATTTTTCTGGACTTCATCTGCTGTATCTGTGGAGGACATAGTGTCACGCAGCAATTACAAAATATAGTCAATTAAATATCCATAAAATAGAGTAAAACATGTTCAAACTAACAACAACCACAAAAAAAAATAAATAACACAATATATGTATATCTAAACTGTAATATAATGAATTATAATCAATCAAACATACAAAATGTCCAAACTAACCAACACGGTGAATGCTACCAAAACGCCGTTTATAATTATCCAAATTGAACTGAATTCGACTCTGACAAAAATATTTGCGCGGCAAAAATATTTGCGCGGCAAAAATATTTGCGCGGCAAAAATATTTGCGCGTCGTCTAAATGACTAACGACCGATTAACCAATAGAAGCGCAAAAAAATGTCACGTGAGCTGTTGCTGAATGGGAGAAATTGTTTTGACGCGGCGTAATTGAAATCTGAATAGACTTTAGTACTTATCATTTTATTTTTTAAACTAAATGTAATATAAAAAAATATTTGAGTGTGTCGATGCAAGTGAATGTCTTATTGCTATATTTTGTGACTTCAGGGGGTCGATTCTCGACTTTTTTCCTATAGGAATTTGGTTGATTTTCCTATAGGAAAGTAGGTTATGTATTCTGGAGTCAAGTTGTAGGAATATTTTCCTAATCAGTTATAGGAAATGATTTCCCATGCTCATGAGGCAGGGAATTTAATTTTCCTACAAGATTTTGTTATCGCGCTTGCGCAATAGTAGCTTGTTTAATTTGGTTTATTGATATATGCTTACTTTTTAGGCGATTCCAAACTCATTTAAAAAAGAAACGTACTACATATATTATTAAAAGTCAATTTTAATTTGACGAGTAAATTTATCCTATTTGAAATGTTTTTAAGTCAATAAATAAAATAAACCAAAATCAATAAATTTTTTATGAAAATTTACCAAAGAAACTAGTTACTTTTGAGTATTTTTTTGCGAAATTCGCACATCAGGATTTCTCGACGGAGCCCAAACCAAATTATAATGATGTATGATGTGAATTTTACTATAATTTGCTAAATATTGAAAGTAATATACTTAGTTACTTTCTTTAGTTTCTACTTATAAATATAAATAACGACAGGGCCGCCGAGAGCCAAGCCAGGCCCCGTGACAAAAAAACAGCTCTTCAAACAAAAACTTTTCCTCCTCTATTTGTATTCAATTTAAAAAAAAAAAAAGCTTCCGAACCTAAAACTTCCCCCTCTCGTCTTGTGTCGAATTTATTTTCTCATACAAAACAAAAATTCCAGTTGCCGGGCCCCCCTTATACCGCTGCCGGGCCCCGGGAATTAGTCCCGGCTACCCCCCCTCTAGTCGGCCCTGAATAACGGTAATCACAATGGTAGTCCTGAAACTTTTTCGTTTTCTCTTTTTGCTGCTAATAAAAACTAGTACATCCAGAAAATCAAATATTTTTGACAAATTGTCAAATTGCTTTGTTGCCAACAGTTAAACAACTATAGTTAACTGAAATAAATACATTCCATTGGCTCGTTTTTGCGTTATCTTGAAATTATCAACGACATACTGAAATTGGAACTCCTACAGGAAATTGGATTCCTATTGTACTCGAGAATACCGACAACTAAAACTGTAGGAATATTATCATAGGAATTCATTTTCCTCGGAATCGAATTCCTACAACTCGAGAATCGACCCCCAGCAAGGTGTTTGACTTGAAATAAATAAATAAATAAATTTTATCTTTGCAGTTTGAAACCATTAGATATAGAATTTATGAAAAAACTCCACAACAAGGTAAACATAGTTCCTGTCATCGCCAAAGCTGACGTTTTAACGAAAAAAGAAATGCTGAAACTAAAGAAAACCGTGTTAGATGAAATCGCTCAAAACGGCATAAGGATATACTCACTACCAGAATGTGATTCAGACGAAGACGAGGAATATAAAGAACAGGTAAGTCAAGGATGGTATAATTACTAACATTATGGACCATTCCAAGAAAGTTTTTGATACGTTTTCCATCATCATACCTTGTAAAAAGTTTATAAAAGACAAACTTTTCGGAAATATTCTTCAGTAGCATTTAAAACCTATTCGAGTTACAGTTTAGTCTTCTCTATGGTGCATTTAAATTATTTCAAACACTGTTGCAGGTGCGCCAACTGAAACAGGCCGTGCCTTTCGCTGTTTGCGGCGCCAATACGGAATTAGAGGTGAGAGGGCGCAAAGTCAAGGGACGTTTGTATCCGTGGGGCGTCGTCGAAGTCGAAAATCCGGAACATTGTGATTTTATCAAATTGAGAACCATGTTGATTACGCACATGCAAGATCTACAAGAAATTACGCAACAAGTGCATTACGAGAACTACAGATCGGAAAGGCTGGCCAAGGATGGTCCTGTACCTAAGAAAAATGGGTAAGTAGGTTTACACTTACATGGGTTGGATTTGATGTTCCGCCCCTGGCTCATTTATACAGGGTTAACTGTGGAAAACGGACTTTTAAATGTTTTTATTAAGAGCCTCAGACACCAATTTTATTCATAATTAAAAATGTTTTTGGAAGGCAGCTCTCTCTTTTTATTTTTAAAAATAGGATGCCGTTTCCACCACTTAATGAAGCGCTAATGCTAGATTTTTAGTTATTTTTTTGCTAATAAGTTGTCAATTATTTTAAAAAATAGCACCAGGGCTATCTTATAAAAAATTACAAATACGATCAAGAAATCGCATATTTTTATTTACAAAATTAAACCTTTCACTGTCCAAAAACTATTTACGACCGTAACGTGGCGCCCTTCTAATTTTGACGCAGGAAATGTTCGGTAAAAGAGAGAATGTTTGAGATACACTGAGAAAACATCGTCAGTGTAAATTGCAAAGAAAAATTTAACAGGTGTTTTATTCTGGCTTTATTGGGCTTGACATTTACTGCCTTCGATCATGGTGGACTGTATGACTATATTCGAAATAGATTACCTGGGGTGAAGGCCTTATGCTCCACCCTGTTGCCTCTGGAAGATACTCTTGAAGTTCTGGTTGATGCACTGGGTTTATTCAAATAAAATTATCACCCTATATTTGAATTTGATATATTCACGGCTTGCAGGTTTCACATTTTACACATTATTACTTGGTTACATAAATTATTGAACGATTACATGTTAACCTTTTTAAATCAAATCGCACAAATGCGTTAAATTAATTTACGGCTTGCTGCCGGCGTTGTAAAAGTTTGTCGTGTTGTTGGTTTGACTGACAAAGCGAAAGTGAAGTTGTTTTCTTTCCGATGCAAGCCCGCCAGCTCGCGTCGGTTTTACCGGCTTTCTTTTCATTGGCCGTCCCATATCGCATGTTTTCGTACGTGATCATTACTTTTAGGAACTGTCGCATGATTGAGTGAAAAAATCTCGCGCGACTCAGTATTAATTGTTTGCGAGGACACAGGTGTCTGAAGGGTATTTGAAAGTTAACCGGTTTACTAATTCACAACTTTAGATAATTAGTTTATACAGGGAGTGACTATTCAGTACTTTATTATTTTTGTTTGCTAAAAGCGGAGGTTTATACAGGGAGTGTCCACCTAGTATTTAGCAGATAGGACATGTTGAATGTAATTTCAACAACAGGAAAGCCAAAAAAACTAATTTAAATGCGAGAGACGCTAAAATTGTGGTTCCCACTTATTGAGATTGAGGCCCACAAGGGTAAATTCGTAGCGTAAAAAAAAACAGAAATGATTTAACTTGAAACGAAAGACCGAAAGATAATAGTGGTATTAAGACTTTTAAACCTGATGATTTATAAAAATATAAGCAGGAATTTTTTTTAGATCTCCATAAAGTATAAAATACCTGTTTTTTAACCCGATTCTCTGTCGTCTTGGTTGTCCTACTTTTTCCTTTCTTAAATCTGGCAACTCTATGTTCAGCCTTTCTTTCAATTTTACAAATAACAACAAAACACTAATTTAATAGTTAAAAGGTAAAAGTTTCACATTTGTCATTTAATTTGACATTTCATACCTGTGATGACCACGTTTTTACTGTAGTCAAGCCGACAGCTTGAGTCGGCTCCTTTGATGTCGTAGTGGTCAGATTTTTATTGATAGTTGACGTTTTTGCCGTTTATTTCTATACTGAAAAAAGTAACTTTAAAATATCTTGTCCCTTTGTCTGTTGGAATAATATATCACACAATGAACTGTCGCTACTGTATTATTACTTATACTGGGCTGTAGTCAAGGTAAATTTGACCATTTCAAGACAATATTCAATATGACGTCATTGTTTTTAATTTATATCAGTGTAGGCATTCATATTCAAGACATAGTATCTGATTTAAAATCGCCTATTGAAATGTTTTCAGTATGGAATGTTAGACGTTAGAAATGATTGGAATGCCTTCTGTAATTAGAATCCTTGAACTTATTATAACTAAATTTTGATTAATAATGAAACGGGCATTTCTAAGATGGTAAATTTGCCATTTTGGTACTAGATGAAGTTATAATCTGCATTTCGGAAAAAAGTGGAATTATGCATTTGCGATTTACACTGGTTACATGTAGATGTATTTTTTCCCATTTCATAAATTAAAAAAAAAAATAGTGGTGTATTTCAATATTAAAAACGAATACAAATAATAAATTAATTATTAATAAATACAGGACACAACTGACAATTAAATTATTTCACAGTTTAACAGACCCCCTTAACCCCCATTTTCCATCAGATTTTTTCAGAATCAATAAGTTATAAAGCATAATTTTTCATGAATATTTTAATTTAATATCGTTTTTTGTTTCTGAGTGAATATTTCAACCCCCCAGAGTTGGGTCGGATACAGAAAAAAAGTTACTTACAATGTATCCGGATACTTACAATGTACCCGGATACTTTTTAGGATACTTTCACCTAAAAAGTACTAGGATACAAGTATCCGGATACTTTTTTCGGATACTTTTACGGATACTTTTAAATTGAGTTAAAATGTTTTAATATCAATAATTATAATTATGCAATAAGATTGATTACGAGTAACAATAAACATGTAACCTGACAAACCGGGTCCTAACTTAGTTTTACAAATACTTATAACCTTGGCCTAAATTTCGTCTAGTAGATCCCCACGAATTGATTTTTGTAGGACCCCAAAATTTCGCTTAGAGTTCAATGTAGCTGTAATGGAGGAACAAAAAAACATACACAAAAATAGATTAAGAATAGTTTTATTTAAACTTATTTCTTATAGCGGGAAGTTGACAATAATGTTTGTCTATTTTAACATAACACATGTGTGACCTTTTCCATGTCTCACTTCTAACCGAAGGAATATTAAGCTCCCATAAACCGGTGAAAGTATGATGACAGTACTACAGCATATTTGTTATCCCTTTATAATACACAATCATAAACACTGCTAATATAATACCTGCATACGTATTGTCTGATATAGTGAAGTTCAGCGGTATCACGAAGATGGCGCGATATGAATATGGATATAATTATGTAAATAAGAAGTTTAACCTCAGCTTGCGTAACACCTTTCCACTGATATCTCAATACCGTATTTTACGACTGTGCTCAGTACTGCATATATAACAATAACCTGTACGACAACAGAACACCTGATATAAAGGGGGATGCCCGTTAGACCCACTTTTGGGGTATCTTTTCTTAAGATCCATCCTAGCCTCTATCAGGCTTTTATTTCCACAGACGTGAGAAAATGTACCATTTTTAGGCCCTACTATTGAGGTTCTGCACGTACTATGGGTGGCTGAAGGCTCTTTTTCGGCGCAAGGCTCTTTTGCTCTACATAATACTCCGAAAAACAGCCCGAACAATATACGGCTCCCGGACCGCCCTCTGAGTTAGAATTTGCCCTCTAACAATTTACACTCGATGAACAAAAGACGTGCCAAATAGAAAGTGATTGATATATCCTCGAACAACGCAACAAACTATTTAAAGAAAAGAATAAAAAAATATCAGACCCAGGGGCGTCGCGTTTCACAATACTAGGCATAAATAAATTATCGAAAATGAAAAGCGATATAATAGAAACAGGAAAAAAACTACTCAATAAATTGTTTATTATTTTTATTCTATAAATATAAAACATTAAAACAAAATGATCAATAAAACATAAAGGTGCGTGTAAATAAAATGAGTCGCGCCTGAACCGCGTCAAAAACCAGCCAGTGTCGTGTCCATATAAATCTAACGAAATAAGATCGTTGTTGGCGCGACTTGTCATGTTTATACAATCCATTTTTTGTGGCTCCTCCGACGAGGGGTACTTGGTAGAGTCGAGAGCGTCGAAAGGAGGAGGAGTGAAAGATTGCTGAATGTTTGGTTCTGGCCTAGGCAAAACAGGCTCGTATATTTGATCTTGTCAGATCTGTATACTTTACTGATGTTGATGACGACATAAATAACACATTTTTCACACATCATACATGTATTTTCTCGACTACATTTTAAGAATTAATAACGTAATTAAACATTTTACAAAACAAAAAATGCGAGGTACCTACACCTACTTACCTTTGCGTATAGTTAGGCACTAAAACTGATACAGAGAGTTTAGTCATATTGCACTATATAAAAACACAGGAACAACCGTCTCTTGTCTTTGCCAACTGAAACATAACTGGGCTAATGGAACCTCCACAAATTCGTGACGCTAAATCACCGGACAAGGGTTTGCAGGATTTTTTCTGTAAAAACGTGCCGCAAGATGCTGAATCCCGACCGTCTTTACACAGGGTGAATTGTCGAATTCATCTTTGGCGTTGATACATTTTTTTTGCCTTATTTTAAATTTTACAGGGTGCACCAAACAAAACTACAAATCATAATAAAATAATTATTTTACTATTTTTTATTTAAGTAAGTACCTATTGCAACTGTGTCTTAAATATTGTAATATTGAAAAATACGTATTTTATTTCTAATTATACAGGATAGCTCAAAGTATTTCGAATATATATTTTAATAGAGATTATATGGATGGGATCAGTTACGATTGTGGTAAATAATTTAAAAGTACCCGAATGCCGAAAAATTTGGTCACGGATACCGGATACAAAATTTGAAAAGTACCTGGATACAGTTTTCGAATACACATAAAGTATCCGGATACAGAAGTATCCGAATTCTACCCAACTCTGCAACCCCCCCTTACCTCCCCATTTTTATTTATTTATTCATTTATTTCCTTGTAGAGCTTGATTTTTACTAAACATTTCATGCTGATATTGTTTTTAGTTTCTTATTTCCATTTTTTTTATTTTAATCCTATCCCCCCTTGACCCTATTTTATTTAGATTTTTTTAAAACCAATAAGCTCTGTCCCCTTATAAAGCTTGATTTTTGTCAAAAATTTCAAGTTGATATTATTATTCGTTTCTGAGTTAAGATTTGTGTTAAATATTTCAACCTCCTCTTTAACCCTATATTTTAATTCATTTTTTTTTCTGAATCAGTGAGCTTCATTATAAAGCTTAATTTTTATTAAAAATCTAATCTTGATATCGCTTTTTATTTTTAATTTATAATTTGTTTTTAATTTCAACGTTCCTCAACCCTCCATTTTTAATCAGATTTTCTTTTAAGTCAAAGGGCTTTTTCCCCTTATAAAGCTTGATTTTTGCTAGAAATTTCAAGTTTCATTTTTCGTTTACAAATTAGGATTTTTACCCCCTTCTTAACCCCCAATTTATTTAGATTTTTTCAGAATCAATAGGCTTAATCCTCTTATACAGCTTGATTTTTACTCAAAATTTCATGTTGATATCGCTTTTCGTTTTTGATTTATGATTTTTTTTTATTTTAATCACTTTTTTTTTTTTTTCAAAATCAATAGACTTTGTCCCCTGATAGAGCTTGATTTTTGCTAAAATATCTATATCTAAAGCTTATTGTACCCCTTGCAGTTTCTACCCCATCAGGTTAATATTCTTAATGAATTCAAGAATATGTCTGATAGGCGCTTTTGTGATTTTTTAAGGTTCCGGATATTGTACCCCAAGTGCCATAGGCCTCAATGTTCCGTAAAGAGTCTCATTACGGCCTTTAGTTCGTTTCTGCTGTTTAGCAGTTGATTTTGTCTGCTCTAGAATGGACCCCCTATGAATATTTTGGACTGTCTAAGCCCAGGAAGTTCCAACCAGAGCCTATGGTGTTTTCTATTTATCTCCTCTGTTAGCACCCATTTAACATGTTGGTATGAAATACCATATGTGGGTTCTGATCCAGTTAGAGTTTTCTCACTTTCCTTACTGGCTAGGAGGTCTGCTTTCCCGTTTCCAAACGCACTCTCTTGTCTCATTCAAGAGTGACCTTGTTATATTATGCCAGGCCTGGAGGGACTGTTAGCAATCAAGTATTAATTGTTCAGTGATTTAAAGGTTTGCCTGACTGTCTGTCATAATAAAGACCCTCATATCTTTAAAAGAGTCATTTATAAGAACTTTTGCTCAGGCATTTCTTGCTGTTACTTCAGCCTGTCAGTGACCCCAGGTTCAGACTAATGGTCCTCCCAATAACATGGTAAATCCCATTCTGGTATTTGAATATTCAAAGGTTTCTTAAAGTCATGAATAATAGGTGTTCTATCCGATGGCATTCTTAACACCGGATTTTGTTTTAATTTCTCTAATAACATTGTATGGTGTTCTTTTCTTGAAAGGTCCTATCCAAATCCATTAGTAAACAGCCTATGTGCCGCCGCCATAGCCTCCTTCTTCGCTACAAGGTGTAATGGAGGAAGACTTAGCAATAGCTCCATTGCTGCAATGGATGTAGTTCTAAATGCCCCTTATAATATTAGACAGGCTAGTCTTTGTACTTTGTTTAATTTTCTGTTAGCTGTTATGCTTTTAGTCTTGTGTCGCTATATGACTGCTGAGTAAGTTATAACAGGTACTACAACCATAGTAAAAAGCCAGTACATCATATTTGGTTTAAGCCCCCATGAATTCCCTACCATCTGTCTATAGGCTCATAGTATTCTTACAGTTTTTTCTGTTGTTTTTTCTATATGGCTGCAAAAGCTAAGTTTGTCATTCCAAGATATTTAACCTCCTTTGCCATTTTTAGATATTGTCCCCGCATATTAAGCTCTTTCATTCCTTGAAGGTTCGTTTATCTTATGAATGCTACAACAGCAATTTTCGACCCATTGCAGGATTTATTTTGACATACTACCATGATAACCACATCGATATGCGCAATTTTTCCTCCGGGGTAGGGATGTTGCGATACTACTGATATGGTATCGATACTTTTCTTTTGATACCGGGTAATTTAGTACCCGATACTTTGATTTTGATACTTTACCCTTATCGATACTACTTTTGTTTCGATACTACTATTTTCGTTTCAATATTTTACTAGTTTTGACATTAAAATACAAACAAAAAGGATCACTTTAAGGTATGTCGGCGTATTCTGTAATCTTTTTTTTTTTTGTTGTTCTACACTCTTCCCGATAACGGTATCGATACTTTCGATACCGGTATCGATACTTTGGTTCCGATACTATTTTTGATACCGGTATCGATACTTTAGTGGTATCGCAACATCCCTACTCCGGGGTACCTTGAAACTGATTACACGAGGTTCGTTGACAGTTACAAAGCCTATTTTGCAATTTTAATTTCGTATATTTCATAATCAAAATGTCATTTTTTATTTAATAATCTTATTTTAGTGTGAAATTTTCTTATCCTCATACACAATTATTTTAAGAAATAAATCGTGTACTACAAATATGTCCGTTAATAATCCAAGCTCTAGGGAAATTACTAGTAAGAATTCAGCAAAATAATGTACAGGGTACTCAGTCTCTAACCCTATTCCACATCGCACTATTTAGTTCTTTGGAAATTATCGTGTATTACACAAGTGTAAATAAGAATCTAGTTTCCTCAAGCTATCATTTCTATTTGGTGATTTGTACAAATGTTGTTTTTTTTTAGAATGGAAGAGAAAGCTGGTGGACCGCCCAACGAAAAAGATAGAATCTTACAAGAAAAAGAAGCAGAACTAAAGCGAATGCAAGAAATGATCGTAGCGATGCAGGCCAAAATGCAACAAACGCAGTGAATCTTCTATCTTAATTTTTTGTTACATTAAGTTCTACATATCTCGAAATACCTACCTAAGTATGTAAACTTTTTTATATATATTTATATTTTTTAAGTATGAAATAGATTATATCGGATTTTTCAAAATATTTTAGTACTAATTGATTTTAGTAGTAGAATATTTTAATGAATTAAAATGCAGAGTTGAAATTGTGAATTATTTATGTTCATAATGAAATAGTTCTTTTGTACAGACTAAAGAACGCAAATGTGCAATATTGGTATTATTATTATTATTCCACTTCAATGAAAATTCCCTGAATATTTTTGGCATATAAACTACGTTGTTGAACATTCTTAGATACTACGAGGGTTATTTTTAAAGTAAGTTCCATTTAAAAAAGGAATTCTAATAGATTTTAATTTTTATTGGAATAAAATCAAACCCCTTATTAGGTAAATTAGGAAAATACAACTTGTAACCGCCAATACTTTCGAATGACAACAGACAACTGATATTCCTAGACAGAATGTTAGTGACAAAACTTCTTACTGACAGTTCACTTATTTATTAGGTTGTGCAGCAACGTATTTAACAATATCACGAATATTATTTTTTCTTTCTATCTTTTAACTACTTTTCTACATAATTTACATTCTTGTTTAAACATTTATCATAGTGCCCAACATACTTTCGAATCTTTCATCTCAAAGAAATCTGTGAAGAAGCCCAAGCTATCGCTATACTTTTTATTTCTTCATCGTTATCAAATTGTGTCAAAGCTTTTAGTTATCAAAACAAGTGATAATTAGTCACTGGGAGCAAAGACTGAGCTATAAGATAGATGATCCAATTGTTCCCATCTAACAGACGCATTTCCAGCGCATCTAAATCCTATCCACAAACGGTCCTTACTTAAAAAATGTAAAAAACGAATTAACTACAATTTTTTAACATCAGTAGACCATTAGATTAACTAAGAATTGACTAATTATAATTTAGAACCATTTTTAGTGCTGCAATGCATAAATGAATCTAATTTTCTGAACGTCCCTCGTATATCAAAGTTTTATGATCCGCAATTTTGACTCTTGATTGTAATAAACGCTGGAAAGGTGTATGATTAAAAAGCGAAATAGTATTTTTATAAAAATAAGGCTGTTACAAATGGAATTTTACGGAAAAAAAAATTTACCAATTAGTGCTAATAGATTAACTAGTGTTATTATTGCCATATTGAGCGATTTTACCTTTTTAAACCCCTACATAATATTCTTTTTGTATTTTGAATGATTGAGAATGCTATTTGCATTTTCATGTTAGATTCTTATGTATTTTATATAATAAAACTTTTCATCTCAATGGCGTTTTACTATAAAATTAATGATAGTTATAGTAATTGCATAAAGATCTATAGTAGGATGTAAATGTTATTGGAATTATAATTCAACTAACAATTTTTTTGCTGGTCAGATACGCCTAAAGTGACTATATTTTGAGAAGTCGAAAGCGGGACAGACCGAAAACATGGAGGAGATTTCTCGACAATGACGGTTTGGTTCATTAAAGAGCAAAAAAAGGAAAATTTAAGTGGTTGTCCTGTAACCATTAAAATTGTATTTTCAGGCGGTCTAAATGAAATATTTAACACGTTGGCTCCCAAGCCTAATTTTCAAGATTCTGTTCTATGGTACTACATAAGTCACCGGTGATACGTTCGGTTGGAATCCCTTCTGTACCGTGTGTATCACTGGTGATATTGAGCATTGTTTATTGCAATTCGTTTTAAAAATATTTGGTTTCAATTTAAAGGAATTTAAACTGAAGAACTGGTACTGGAAGGAACCAAGTTATCTATAGGTAAAGTGGGCATCACCAGTGATATACACAAGTAAAATCGTAGTTTAGTTTGGGAGGAATTAAATATGACTACTATTCTATTTATATATTTATTTCAACAGACATATACAAACGTTTAGGATATAAAATAGGAATGCAAAACAATATTTTAGAAACAAACCCAATCAATGAGGAAGATAACAGAATTCGAGGAGGAAAAATACTATCCAGTCAGAAAAACTCCGCTCCAGGATCGGACATGATCCCATGGCAAATTGTGAAAAAACTAGAATATAATATACATACCTATATTATAAAAATGTTTTTATTCTGTTATAAAAACTCGTACTTTCCAGATCAATGGAAAAAAAGGCACCATCATAGTTATCCCAAAACCAGGCACAGACCACAAAAGAATTGATAATTACAGACCTTCCAATTTTGGGAAAACTATTCGAAAAACTTATTGAGGTCAAACTATCAGCATTAGTAAACGAACGAATTCCGCAATTCCAATTTGAGTTTAGAGAACAAATCTCCGCTCTGGTACCAACCACTCTGCTGGTTTCCAATGTGCAAACAACAAAATTAAACAATAAAAAATCTGCCATTCTCCTGTTGGACATTAAAAAAGCCTTTGACTGTGTCTGGCACAACGGCCTCCTATTTAAACTAAAACTTATTAATGTGCCTGATGGTCTTATAATTCTTATCAAAACAGAACTCTAAGAGTTAAAATAAATAACCACACATCTCCAAGTTTCATAGTAAATCAAGGTATACCGCAAGGGTCGCCACTATCTCCACTCCTTTACAACATATTGCTTTGATTTTCCTTCAGGTCAGTTACACCTCAATGCAATAAATTACACACTCCAATACGCAGATGACACGGCCTTGATATCGCATGGAAATACGCTGAATCAAACCATCACAGCACTACAAAATCAATATAACGAAGTTGTTCAATGGCTCAATAAATGGAAATTACAAATTAACCCACAAAAATGTCAATTAAGGCGGCGTTAGCAAATGTATTAGCATAGGAGAATTTTTCAACATATAAGACGGGCTTTCTAGACAATGAATTTATGCGGATTTGCTTTTATAATATTCTAATAGTATTGAACTAGTTCCTGAATATATTTTAAAGTGGAAAAAAATTGAGAGAATAAAGAAAATAACGAATTTGTGAAAATTTTACATGTAAAAAAGTCATCATAAATCGTTATAAAAACTATTTCAGGAACTAGAATATATTCCCATTAGAGGCTCCGCATAAAAAATATTTCATTTTTTGCTTTCATTTTCCAGTCTTATATGCACAAAAATTTTTAATTTTAACCCAAAAAACGCAACCAACATTACATAAAACGGGTGTAATCCCTGTAATTTTAGGTTCAGGCAATCTTATATAGATGACGCCACCTGAAAATATCAAATTTATATCGAGCAACGTTGTCATATTGTTATGAAGTATCGGAAGCAAGGAAGTTCGTTATTTTATTACAAAAATTAGGTAAATTGTGTTAAGTCTCGTTTTGGAGAAACATTTAAAACGTGTAGAGATTTTGTAAAATGTTTCATTTTTATATTACAAAATATAAGAACGTAATTTGTCAGATATTAAATATAATGTTGAGTTTTGTTTTTTCTGGCTGGATTTACGTGAAAATTGGAACAAGATGCATGTGAAAACATCGATCCTGGCCTTTCAAATGCATTTGTGGGTTCACAAATTAGTTGAGAAGAGTTAAAAGTAAGAGCAAACTTTTAAGCCAATTTATATTCTTAAAATCAACTGAAAAAGTCCTTAAAATATTTATTGAAAATACAATAAATTTATCACACTGATTATTGCAGCATAGTTTAAATTTTATTATTATTATTATTATCTCTTCTGTATTTTTGTTTACATTGTATGTTTTTTTACTTTCCTATCTGTATACAGATAAGGAAAGTATAGTAATCATGATTTTTTTCGACATCGATTTTTTGACGGATTTTTACATTTTGGGATCCCCTGAATCCGTTTTGACTATTTTCGCGATGCTGTCTGTGTGTGTGTGTGTGTGTGTGTGTGTGTGTGTGTGTGTGTGTGTGTGTGTGTGTGTGTGTGTGTGTGTGTGTGTGTGTGTGTGTGTGTGTGTGTGTGTGTGTGTGTGTGTGTGTGTGTGTGTGTGTGTGTGTGTGTGTGTGTGTGTGTGTGTGTGTGTGTGTGTGTGTGTGTGTGTGTGTGTGTGTGTGTGTGTGTGTGTGTGTGTGTGTGTGTGTGTGTGTGTGTGTGTGTGTGTGTGTGTGTGTGTGTGTGTGTGTGTGTGTGTGTGTGTGTGTGTGTGTGTGTGTGTGTGTGTGTGTGTGTGTGTGTGTGTGTGTGTGTGTGTGTGTGTGTGTGTGTGTGTGTGTGTGTGTGTGTGTGTGTGTGTGTGTGTGTGTGTGTGTGTGTGTGTGTGTGTGTGTGTGTGTGTGTGTGTGTGTGTGTGTGTGTGTGTGTGTGTGTGTGTGTGTGTGTGTGTGTGTGTGTGTGTGTGTGTGTGTGTGTGTGTGTGTGTGTGTGTGTGTGTGTGTGTGTGTGTGTGTGTGTGTGTGTGTGTGTGTGTGTGTGTGTGTGTGTGTGTGTGTGTGTGTGTGTGTGTGTGTGTGTGTGTGTGTGTGTGTGTGTGTGTGTGTGTGTGTGTGTGTGTGTGTGTGTGTGTGTGTGTGTGTGTGTGTGTGTGTGTGTGTGTGTGTGTGTGTGTGTGTGTGTGTGTGTGTGTGTGTGTGTGTGTGTGTGTGTGTGTGTGTGTGTGTGTGTGTGTGTGTGTGTGTGTGTGTGTGTGTGTGTGTGTGTGTGTGTGTGTGTGTGTGTGTGTGTGTGTGTGTGTGTGTGTGTGTGTGTGTGTGTGTGTGTGTGTGTGTGTGTGTGTGTGTGTGTGTGTGTGTGTGTGTGTGTGTGTGTGTGTGTGTGTGTGTGTGTGTGTGTGTGTGTGTGTGTGTGTGTGTGTGTGTGTGTGTGTGTGTGTGTGTGTGTGTGTGTGTGTGTGTGTGTGTGTGTGTGTGTGTGTGTGTGTGTGTGTGTGTGTGTGTGTGTGTGTGTGTGTGTGTGTGTGTGTGTGTGTGTGTGTGTGTGTGTGTGTGTGTGTGTGTGTGTGTGTGTGTGTGTGTGTGTGTGTGTGTGTGTGTGTGTGTGTGTGTGTGTG